AGAAGCCCCAAGAGGCCCCCAAGAGGCGTCCCAAGAGGCCACTGGGAGGCGAACATCATTCATTTCCTATGGGAAAACGTGCAGTTTTAGCATACACGGCTTTTCAGCTTTCACGGCGTAGACGACGGTCCAAGAGGCCCCCAAGACCGGTCCAAGATGGCCCAATAGGCTCCCAAGAGGCCCCCAGAACGGCCAGAGAGGGCGCCAAGACGGCCCAAGAGGCGCCCAAGACGGCCCAAGAGGGCCCCAAGACGGCCCCAAGAGGGGGACCACGAACCCGAAAGTCTAGCCTTTCGCCCCAAGACGCTCTCAGGAGGCCCCCACAGACCCCCAAGAAGCCCCAAGAGGCCTCCAGGAGGCCCCCGAGAGGCCCCCAGGAGGGCCCGAAAAGAGCCCCAATAGGATTCCCACGAAGGCCCAGAGACGCCAAGAGCGATCGGTAACGCAAAAAGCTCTTCACACCAAGGCTCCCAAGAGCGAACGGTGACGTAAACAAGCTGATAAGACCAATGCTCCCAGCAGAGAGCGGTGACGTAACAAGTTCCTGACACCAAGGCCCAGCCAAGGCTCAGGAACGGGCGGCTACGCAACAATCTCTGAACACCAAGGCTCCCAAGAGCGAGGGGTGACGTAACAAGCTCTCAACGCCAAGGCTCCGGGTACGAACGGTGGTGTGAGTAATTTCGGTACCTGTTGCTGCAACGCTCTTTCCGTTTCTGTGCCGGGCCAGGTAACAGAAAGAGCGAGGTACGAGTGATGACGTTCTGGTGTGGGCGAAGCCCTAAAGGGAGGGGTTCCAGGGGAGGGGCGAGGGTTGTGGACCTGCGTGTTAATGGCCGTTTTCGGGTTTTCCCCTTGGGTTTTTTGCATGTTTTTCGGGTTCCCCCCAAAGACGGCCCAAGAGCGCTCCAAGAGAGCCCAAGACCGCCCAAGACGCCCCAAGAGGCCCCCAAGAGGCTCTCAAGAGGCGCCCAAAACGGCCCAAGAGGGCGCCAAGACGGCCCAAGAGGCGCCCAAGACGGCCCAAGAGGGCCCCAAGACGGCCCCAAGAGGGGGACAACGAACCGAAAAGTCTAGCCTTTCGCCCCAAGACGCTCCCAGGAGGCCCTCAGAGCCCCCCAAGAAGCCCCAAGAGGCCCCCAAGAGGCCTCCAAGAGGCCCCCAAAAGGGCCCGACAAGGGCCCCAATAGGACTCCCAAGAAGGCCCAGAGACGCCAAATAGAGAGCGATCGGTAACGCAAAAGCTCTTCACACCAAGGCTCCCAAGAGCGAACGGTGACGTAAACAAGCTGATAAGGCCAAGGCTCCCAGCAGAGAGCGGTGACGTAACAAGTTCCTGACACCAAGGCCCAGCCAAGGCTCAGGAACGGGCGGCAACGCAACAATCTCTGAACACCAAGGCGCCCAAGAGCGAGGGGTGACGTAACAAGCGCTCAGCGCCAAGGCTCCGGGTACGAACGGTGGTGTGAGTAATTTCGGTACCTGTTGCTGCAACGCTCTTTCCGTTTCCGTGCCGGCCCAGGTGACGGAAACAGCGAGGTACGAGCGAGTGACGTTGAGTAGGGGGCGAAGCCCTTCTTAGGGGGGGTCCAGGGGGGGTGCGAGGCCCAGACGGATGGTCTTATAGCCCGTTTCCCTCGTATTTTTTCGAGTGAAGCGGCTCCCGGGCGGGTCCCATGGCCCGTTTCTTGCCCAGACGGGCCCAAGACGGCCCATAGGCCCCAAATATCGTCCCAAGACGGCCCCGGAGGCGCCCCAAACGGGCCCATAGCGGTCCAAGAGGGCCCCCAGACGGGCCCAAGACGGCCTAAGAGGCCCCAAAGATCATCCCAAGACGGCCCCAGAGGCGCCCCAAAGGGGCCCCAAACGGCCCAAGATGGCCCCCAGACGGCCCCAATACGGCCAAGAGGGCCCCGAGGGCCCTAAAGAGAGACGGGCCCAAGACGGCCTAAGAGCCCCAATAGGATCCCCAGCGCGGCCCGAAGAGGGCCCTAAGAGAGGGGGCCCCAATAGGGCGCGCCCGAGGAGGAGGGGGAGGGGGAGGAGGAGTGGGAGGAGGAGGAGGAGGAGGAGGGAGGAGGAGAGAGAGGAGGAGGAGGAGGGAGGAGAGGAGGAGGAGGAAGGACGAGGAGGAAGACGAGGAGGAGGAGGAGGAGGAGGAGGAGGAGGAGGAGGGAGGAGAGGAGGAGGAGGAGGAGGAGAGGGGAGGGAGGAGGAGGAGGAGGAGAGGAGGAGGAGGAGGGAGGAGGAGGAGGACGAGGACGAGGCCCAGGGAGGAGGAGGGAGGTAGAAGGAGGAGGGGAGGAAGAGGAGGAGGAGGAGGAGGAGGAGGAGGAGGAGAGGAGGAGGAGAGGAGGAGGAGGAGGGAGGAGGAAGGAGGAGCGAGGAGGAGGCGGAGGCGGAGGAGAGGAGGCGGAAGGAGGCGGAGGCGGAGGAGGAGGAGGAGGAGGAGGAGGAGGAGGAGGAGGAGGAGGAGGAGGAGGGGGAGGGGAAAGAGGAGGAGGAGGAGCAGGAGGAGGAGGAGGAGGAGCAGGAGGAGGAGGAGGAGCGAGGGGTGACGTAACAGGCTCTCAACGCCAAGCCTCGCAGTACGAACGGTGGTGTGAGTAACTTCGGTTAATGTGTTTGAGGCGCTCTTTCCGTTTCCGTGCCGGCCCAGGTCTAATGGGCACGGAGCCTAAATTCACAAATCTCATTGGGTTTGGCGCGTGCCCCGTGGGGTTCCCGGCGGCTTGTCGCGCGGTTTTGTCGGGCGAAAGAGGGCCCCAAGACAGGTTAAGAGGGCCACAAGAGGCCCCGAACACGGTCCAAGAGGGCCCAAAGACTGGCCAAGGGGGCCCCAAGAGGCTCCGAATCGCCGAACGATCGCTCAAGATGTCCCCCCGTCGGCCCAAGAAGCCTCCAAGAAGCTCCAAGAGGCCTCCAAGAGGACTCCCGAGAGAACCCCACAGGGCACAAATTGATGGTTGCTCTTAGGATCCTGAGAACATGTTGGCGTTCTCGCCTTTTCAGCTTCCCGACCCCAGCAGACTGTCTCGGGGGCTCCCAAGTTCAACCCAAGATGACCCAAGAAGCCCCCAAGAGGGCCCCAAAACGGCTTAAGAAGGCTCCGGGGCGGCCCAGGAGGGTCCAGAGACGGCTGCAAGGTAGGGGCCCCGATAAGGGAGCCGAGCCGTCGCGAGGACTCCCCAAAAGGTCCCGAAGAGGTCCCCGAGGGGCCCCAAGAAGCTCCCGACAGGCTCCACAGAGGCCCCCGATCCCCAAAACTGCCCCCGATAGCGCCCCGAAGGGATCCCAATAAGCATCCCTGAAAACTCTGGCCCACAACCCAAGCACGGTGGCGGGATGGGGCGAAAGCCGTTCAATATTTGCGCAGTGCGGGAAATAGCCCACTAGAAGACAACCGTCTAAGCATCCTCAATCTGGGCCAGGCGCCATTCAGGAGACTTACACGCAGCGGGCCAACGTAATAATTGTGCCCTGACAATCCTGAACCGCGTCAAGGCGCAATTCCTGGGACTTCAACGCCGCATCTCAACGTTGCTGTTGCGCCCTAGCAATCCTAAATCGTGCCAGGGCACAAATCCTGGGACTTCGACCATGCGAATCCTTAAACACGTTGCGCCTTTTTAAAATGAATGCGCGCGGCGCTAAGCCGAGAGCCACATTTTCAGCAGTAAACAACCCCGGCGACTGCGCGCGGCGCGAAGGCGTCGGTGCTGGCGTCGGCGCAGTCTTAGGCGCTGGCGATAGTTCTAGCGTCGGTGCTGGCGTCATTGCTAGTGTAGCCGCCGGCGATGGTGCTGGCGTAGGCGCTGGCGTTGGTGCTGGCGTCGGTGAAGGCGTCGGCGCTGGTGTAGGCGCTGGCGCTGGTGCCATCGTAGGCGCAGGCGTAGCCGATGGCGTCGCTGCTGGCGTTGGCGCTGGCGTTTGCGCCGGCATTTGTGCCGGCGTCGGTGCTGGCGTCGTTGCTGGTGTAGGCGCCGGCGTTGGTGCCGACGTAAGTGCAAACGTTGATGCTAGCGTCGGCCGTGACATCGGCGCTGGAGGCGTTGCCGGCGTTGGGGCTCGCGTTCGTGCTGGCGTCGGTGTTGGTGTAGGCGATGGCATTGGTGTCGGGTGTCGGCGTAGTCGCCGTCGTCGTTGCTGGTGTCCGCGCTGGTGTTGATACCAGCGTAGGCTCAGGCGTTGATGCTGGCGTCGGCGCCGGCGCAGAAACCAGCGATAGTTCTTGCGTCGGTGCTGGCGTCAGTGCTGGTGCAGGCGCCGGCGATGGTGCTGGCGCAGTCGCCAGCGTTAATGGTGGCGTCGGTGCTGGCATCGGCGCTGACAGGGATGAGTCATATGCGAGGATGATAAGGGTGCGACTGGGATGAGGGACGCGTCTGGGGGGCGACAGGGATGAATCACATGCAAGAAGAAACGTTGGAGGAGGAGGAGGATGGACTACACGGGTGAGGGAGAAGGAAGCAGAACGCCCGGAACCCGCCTAGAAACCCTTCTCCCCCTTCTTCTTACCTCCTACCCCACCCATCGGAGGAAAGAGGTGAGTGGCGCTGTGCTCCTTAGTCCACCGCCAGAACAAAAATGATTTACAGGAAATGCCGGGATGTTTTAAAGCGAGACTCGCACACAAATGCAACCATGATTCAAATGCCAGACCATCTCATTAACTGAGCCCACGCACCTGAGCAAAACCCACCTTGGCCTCACAGAAATACCAAGAGGGGGAGGGAAGGAGGAGGAACTTGTACAAGGCACCGACGGAAGTTGGCAGCGTCAACGGAAACAGAGACAACATTTACTCTGCTGCTGGGCTCCTCGCTCCGCTGCCAAAGCAAGAACGATGTACAGGAAATGTAGGGCTGCTCCACACCGAGAATCTCACAATAATGCAAACTTGCTTCGAATGCCAGATGATTTCCTCAGCCGGACCCACCCACCACAGCCCGTACTAGATTCTGGCCGGAAGGAAGGCCCGACCACAATCGACATCTTTTTCCCGCATCACGCACGATCAGACTTGCAGCATCGAGAGCTGACTGATGAAACGATTATGCCTGACACTCTCGACGTTAACCGCGCTTCTTGTGAGCCAGCGGCCTGCCAATCGATTGATGCTCGCGGGGTAGGGGGAGGCGGTAACGGTCCAACGAGCGCCGTCAGGTGCGCCGCCTTTTAGTGATATGCGAGGGAGACCTGAGACACAGCAGCGGCCCTGCCGACCCCGGCAGCGCGGACAGAGGGCACACGGTGGCAGTTGGCAGTTTCACGAAGCGAAGCGCGTGCTCTTGCGCCAACGGGCGCCATGCTTGCAAAAGCCGGCGACGGCAAGCCTGGCCGCGGGCAAGGGCGCCACCTGCGCCAGCACCAGTTCCCGCCACATTAGAGAAGACTGAAGGTTTTCCAGGATACCGGGCACTCTCCGTGCCGAACGCATGCTTTGACGACACGTCCGTCGCACTTGCAAGCCAGATTCCCGACTGGCTCGCGCTCGGCGGCCGCTGCATCCAGCGAGGGGCGACCGTTACTATGATTCGCAGTGCGGCATCGGCCTCGACTTGCCATACTCCATGTCGTGCACGCGGTGCCAGGTCATCACCGCGGACGGGGCCAGCACCGATCCACCCGATCAACCTGGCACACACACACACACACACGCACACAAACCGCAGAGGAAGAGAAGTCAAAGGCAGAACCGACGGCGATGTCAAGCGAGAGACACCCGAAGCCAAGCCTGAAAAGATGTGGAACAGCTTGGCGGCGCCGATTATACGAAGAAAAGGCATGGCCTGCTGCGTGGCATGCTGCAGGCGCCGCTGGACGGCCGCCCTGCTCAGCGCCCCCCTCGCTTGGCTGGCGCCACCTGCGAGCCAGACGAGGCATCGGGCGGCATGGGCGGCGCCCTGCGGGCGCCCAGCAGGTCGGCCAGGCGGCGCTTGACCATGTCGCCGTGCTCCACCATCGGCTCGGATACCTTGGCCAGCTCGGCGAAGTACCAGGCGTGGCGATCATGCCTCCGAGTGGACGAATCGGTCTGGCGTCGAAGCCGCACCTGCACCTCGACCATGCCCAGTCGCCTTTCGGGCGCGTCGGCGCCGGCCGCGCCGTGCCGCGCCTGGTGGGGGCGGGCGCCTGTCAGGCCGAGGGGGGCGAACATCTGCTTGAACGCTTTCTGGAACTGGCAAGCGTCGAACGTCCACGGCTGCTCGGCTGGCGCGAGCACCTCCAAGGAGCGGCTGAGAGACTCTCCTGCCGCCTTGGATACCGCGTGCCCTCATCGAGGTTGAAACTGCCGTCTTGCTGCGCGCGCCCTGCTCGTCGGGGCGCATCGGCGGCCCCCGGCGCCCAGGCGCGCCCGTCGGGCCAGGCCCAGCTCCGGGCGGGCAGTCGCCCCCGCGAGGCCCACCGCCGCGAAGAGGGCGGGCGCAGTGGCGGCCGCGCCCGCCCAAGCGCCAGAAGCCTGAACCCCCGCGAGACCGCGTGGGTCCGCGGCGTCGACCGCGGGTCGCAGCGGCGTGGCCGGGCTGAAGCACCCAGCTGCAACGATGGCATTCCCCCCTTGTCGTGGTTGTACCCGCCCAGGAAGAGGCTGTCGATGTGCCGCCGATGGCCGCGTCTGCGCTCCCTGCGGCGGCCTGGGACAGCTGGTTCACCCGGCAGAAGGTCTTAAGCCCCCCCCCCCCACATGCGCTCGAAGTTCCGGCGACTGGCGCCAGAGATCTTCTGGTTCTGGAGCAGGGTGAAGCCCTCCGCGCGGCAACCTCCTTCGCCACCGCGCGCCGCGCTGTGCGGCGCCGCACTTTCACCTCGATCGGCGCCTAGCTGAAAGCGGCCCTTCGAGACGGCTGAACCGCCGCCCTCGCTGACAGCGCCGTCGAGCTCGCGCCGGGCGTTGGAGGAGTCGCTCGAGCTGATCTCCTCAGCGCCCTTGCCGGCCGCGTCGCCAGTGGCCCAGAGAGCGGCGTCGGCAGCCCCTCCGACAGCGGGATCGCCCTCGAGCTCGCCCCCGAGGCGGAGGCGGCTGCCGTCGCGCTGCGCCTGGCAGCGGGCAAGAGCATCGATCTCGGCTGCGAGCCCGCCGCCGCCGAGGGCTGAGCCGCGGGCGCCGGCCGACGCGACGTCGCTGGGGTCGCCCCGAGGGCCCCGAATTCAGCCATGAGCCATGAGGGATGGGCGGTCGGACGAGCCCTGTCCAGATGGGCCCCGCCCAGCAATGAAAATGGAGTGGGCGCGGGCGCTGAGGGCGGTGATCTCATGCAGAACATGGCTGGCACGAGTAGATGAAGACCCCCCCTTCCAAAGACCCGATCGACGAGCGCGAGGCGGCGGCGACGTCGCGAGGCGACGGGGCGCGCAAAGGCAGCGCGCCCTGCGAGCGTAAAGATATCATCGGGCCCGTTGAATCGCCCTCTGACAAGAAGCGCCCAGCCCTGCTCTTGGGCGATGAGATTGCCAGAGGCCGGATGAAAATATGAATTGCCGCGTCGAGGGCAACGCCGCAGAGCGGCCATTGCGGAAACGCCCAGCCCCAGGGCCATCTGGCGAGGAGCGATAGCATCAAACACAGCAAAGCGCCACTTCTCTGCGCGCCCGCTGGCGCACTCAACAGGCTTGCGGGAGATGCTGCGCTCGACGACCCCGAGGCCTCCGCAGTCGCCGTTGTCGCCGGCGCCCGAGGCGCCAGCGGCCGAGACCACCCCGTCGGCGACCGCCCTCGCGCCCGCGAAGGCGAAGACGCCGAGAGACGAGGCCGCGAACAGTTCCCGCCGAACACGCGGCCGCGGCTGGCTCCGTTTGCAACCGCGCCCGCGGCGGAGAGCGCAGCGGGACTGCGAGATGGGGGGGGGGCCTCTCTGGTCCAGCGCCGCCCAGGTGAAGCGGGCGACGACGCGCGGCAGCTCGCCCCCTGCGCAGATGCCCTCCGCCGAGATGTCCTGCATCGCGCGCCGCGCCCGCCAGAGCCGCACGCTCGACGCGCCCGCGCGCGGGGTGTCCCGCTCGACGACTGGGCCCGTGGACTGCTGCTGCGCGGCCAGCTCCGCGACGCACTCGCACTTCGGCCCGCGCCAATCGAGGTCGGCCACGACGTCGGGGCAGGCGCCGGCGCAACTGGCGCTCAGTCGGGCATGTCCCGCTACAGGAAGTATATATATATACACATGTATACATATGTGTATATAGATAGGTATGCATAAACACATATATATATATACATATATATACATAAAGAATAATGGCGTGGCGATGTTTCCCTCCATGTTCAACATGCGCCACCAATACTCTGGACATAGTGTTCTGGAAACTGGCTAGGCAAACGCGCGATTCACCCGGTTGGAAAAACGCGCCGCGCCGCGAGGCGCCGCGTTTGGTGGCGGCAGCGCGCGCTATCGCGCTTTGGCAAAGGCGCGCGTCTATGGCGACGCGGTCTGTGCAGCGTGCGCAGTGATGGTCGGCCGCGCGCTACCATCGTGGACTGGGCGGCGCGTCGCTACGATCAAATTTGCGCGCGGCGCGAACAATTCGACGGGTGCCCTTTAGGCAGCCCGCAATTGCCCTGCATATTTGGATCCCTGCTGCCTTTTCCAAATTGTTACGGGCGTCCATTACATCCGCGCGATCAGTCTTTGTGGCCGCTGGCGTTCAAGGTCTCGCTGCGAAGCCTCAGTGCCCCCCGCCCCCTCGCTCCTGCGCGCCATCCTTGTGCGTCGCCCCCGCCCCGCTCTCTCAATGTGGGCGGCGCGCATGGACCGGCGTTTTCCGTGTTCGGCCGCCGAGCTTCTTCCGAAAATCACGCGGGGTAGATTGAGCGAGGGGCAATTTTCACCAGACATGGCGTACCCCCGTTGATGTCATCATCGAGTAGATATGAGTGGAGTAAGAGTTGAGGTGAGGCGCGGTAGGAATGGTCAGGAGGTTGCCCGTAAGTCACGTTGACTGCAAGTTGGCGCAAAATCAGATTCGAGGCGGTTCCGAGCAGGGCAGAATGGGAAGCGGCCTAAACATGTCATATAGGCAATCACCAGCTCTTGTATGAAAGGGAAGAGTAGCCTTGCATGTGCCGTTGTAGTGGGGTAGAGTAAATAAGAATGCAAGTGGGCGTGTGATGAGGCAAAATACGATTAGGGTAACATGTGCATTTCCGCAGGTAGATGTATGAGCACAATAGAATTGATCTCTACCTATTGGATCGGCACGGTGGTCGCGCGGATCGCGCAGGGCCGAGTGTTGGGCGCATTCAATCAAGGCAGATCAATATGCCTACTTGCACGCGCGCGCAAGTCCACATACATGCACTCCCGCGCGCAGATCGGCGGGCCCAGCGCGCGCATGGCAAAGAAGGGCCGGGAGCCTGCGGCGCGCCCCGTGCGCCGCCCGCGCCGTCGAGGCATCCAGAGCGCAGTCAGGCATCGTCGCCGGCGCAGCAGTGGCACCTCGGATGCCCAGAGCGAGTGTCCGACATGCCCCGAGAATTGACAAAACACTCCAGCGCAGGCTGTCGCGCGCTCGCCGACCACGCAAAATGCCCCACTGGAAGATTTCAAGCACGACGCGCGCGCGCAACATACTCCAACAATGCATCCCGCAGATTTCGAATACTCACAACATGCCCTACGTAGATGTCAAATCTTGAAAGATACAGCAGAAATGGCTCCACTGATTTCACGCACTCAAACAATATGCCAAACGTACTACAAACTTACACGCGCATAATCCAAATCTACTCCAGCGCCATTCACGAAGTTTCAAAATATTCAGACGATGCCCCAGCGCCATCTGCGAAATGCCGAAACACTCACAAGATGCCCTGGAACCATCTGCGAAATTTCAGAAATCTTCCAGGGCATGCCAGCGCCATGCCAGAACTCTTGAAAGTCATCAAATACACGCCAATGCAACTCGCGAGTCCTGAGGACACTCAAAATGCATTCCCTTGCCCTGTGCGAAATTTCCAAATGCTACAGATATGCCCCCGCGGCGACCTCTGAGATTTCACAGTGCCGCAGAAGACACTCAGCGACCATTTGCGAAACATCCAAGCGCCCCTGGGCGCAGCGCGTTACCTTCGGCAGACAATTCCAAATCTCCCCGAAGATGTCCCCGCTTGATTTCCGGAAAATGTGACCTTGACGTGGGCCCCGTGGCATTGCCTCGAGAACGCGAAGATCTCGCGTGCATGCGGACCCCCGCCCCCGCCCGCCCGAAATCGCGCCGATGCGGCATATGATGCAGTGGGCTCGCTAGCGGTTCAGATGCCCTGCGTCAGGTTTGCCAAACGCGCGGCGCGCGCTGCTGATGCGGTGCCCTCGCGGGCTGAACGGCGCGCCGCTACGCTGCCGAGCGCGCGCCCCGCCGCGGACGCGTCGCGGACTCATTCTGCGCGCCCTATCCCGCTGGGGAACGAGCCTCAACGCGCGCGCATCAAACGTGCGATGCGCCCCGCGCGTGTTGCGCAACCTCCAGACGGACAAACAAAAGCCCAAACATTTGCGTCAATTTTGGATGCAATGTCACCGCGCGCCCGCCTTCGTCTCTAACGGGAAGCATTTGCGCATTGGGGCGGGAAGGGGGAGGGCGCGGGGGGGTCGATCGGTCGCTCGGAAGATTGATCGATGGAGCGATCGATAAAATCACAAGTTTGTGGCGTTCCGCTAGCCCACGCGGACCTTCATCTTTGCATTGCGGCGCTTCTCGTTTGCCATCTTCGCGCGTTGCGATCAGCGGTTGCCCTTGGATCGTCCACGCGTTTGGATTGGCTGGTTCCGGGTGGGTCCACATGCGGCGTCGCATGCGCGCCCTCGGGGGGCATGCTGCGTCTGTCGACTGTCCTCGGGGTGAGCTCAGTGGCAACGAACCGCGCGGAGCCGGCCGAGTGCGCGGCGCGGTCGGTTCGCTCTCCTGCGGACGCGAAGCCATTGAATGTGCGTCGAGTTTGCTTTGTAGCGACATGGATGCAACCGTAGTTTACGAGGCGTCGAAAAGACGCGCCATTTGTCTGGCGCGCAGGGCGCCGCGCACTTTACGCGCGCCAGGGCGCGCGAAAGGGGCGCCGCGACAACAAGGCGCCCCCCCGGCAGGGACCGGGGTTTCCGCGATATTTCTGGAGCATTCCTCGAATATGTTTCGACTTGCCTGTGAAACCCACGGGACATATGTTTTTGGCATTTTCAAATTATTTCAAGCAGCGCCTGTAAGAGGACATGCCCGACATGAAACTGGCGCCGTCGGCCCCGACCGCGGCCGCGTCGCCCTCGCGCGCGGCGATCGTGGGCTCGCGCAGGGGGCTGGCTTCCTGCCTGTCATGCAGCAAGCGGCGCTCGCCGAAACCGCGCGTCAGCGCGCTCGCCGAGATCCCGGCGGAACAACAGGGCCCGGGCCCATCCCGCGGGCGGCGCCTGCAGCGGAGAAGAGACAAAGACATGATCCACAACAATAGTCAACTCGGGCCGGAGCGGCTGCTGCTCGGAAAGGTGCACATCCGGATGGGCATGACAAATTGAGATATGCCCAGCGCCGACTGCAGGCCGCCGAGAGCGTCGTCGAAGTCGGCCCGGGCCAGCCCACCGGGGCTGGGCTGCACGTTGGCCCATGCAGCTGCCGCGGGCAGCTCGGCGAAGTCAGGCGCTTCGAACGATTTGCTAACTGCGCGGGTGTCGGGGGCGGGCCGCGTCTTCTCAGCGGGCCATCCAAGCGAAGAGCGCCCCAAGGGTTGCATCAGACGGCGCGTCCGTCGCGTCGGGCCCCGCGTCGACGAAAAACGATGAACTGGGCGCATGCACGCCTGCGTCGAAAACCTCGGTCAACATGCGGCTTGACAGTGCTGCTCAAGGCGCTCGTCCTTCTGCGCCTTCTGCCGCGCGGCCTTGCCGTCGTCGCCAGCGCCGCCGGCGCCGGAGCCCGGTCGAGCAAACGGCCTCTCTTCCTTCACCTTCCCTTTCTCATTGAGGACCTGGGCCTCGCGGTGTAGCTCTGTGTTGATGTGCTCCTGCAGCTCGGGCGATGCCATGGGCGGGCCGCGGGTCTCGCCGACGCCCAAGTAGAGGAAGGGGTCCTCCATCACGTCGTCGGACTGGCGTCCCACGAAGCGGCGTCTGCGCCCGGCTCCGCCATCTGTGCCCTTGTCGGGAGCAGCTCCACGCATGCAAACTCGCCCACGGCGGGCTGGCCATAGCACAAAGCAGTTTCCCACGCTCGCATCCCTAAATCATGATCCTGAACTCTGCCACCGTGCGGCTGCAACCCACGCTCATGAACCCACTCAATATGCTTCGCCCGGAGGCGTTGGTCCCTGGCGGGCAAGGAACTTTGAAGCACCAGACTGCGGTCCGCGGGCCGAGGATCGGCCGGCCCAACCACAACGAGAGCGAAAGAGCACGGACCGTCTCGCGGACATTACGATGGAGAGCGCCGTCGGACCAGCCACCGCTGAGAGCGCGCGCGCGTCCAGCTCCCCGTCCTCGCCTGGGTTGGCCGCGTCGACGGCATGTAATGGGGAGGAACCCGCGCGAGCCAGGGCGAAGTCGCCGAGCACCGAATGCACGCCACCATGTGAGGGCTCCGCGCCTGTTGGACTGTTGGAGAGGCGTGGAGTTCGTGGCCTTGACTACGTACCAGTCGAGGGGCGCAACAGAATGCAAGCTGCCCTTGCCGACCTCGATCTCACTTACTGATGCTGCTGGCTGCGCCAAGTGGCCGTCGGCGGCGGGGGCCTGCTTATTCGCGCAGGCATCGAGCTGTGGCTGGCGCTGCTGGCGTCGCCTCGTTGCTCGGGCTGTCCACCAGGCCTCCGAGGAAACTCAGTGCCTCGCCGAACTCGAGCGCTGTCGGCTCCCAGTGGTCGCCGTGCGCCGCACCCCGAGACGTCCACGGTGCCCCACTCCTCGACTCGTGCAGCGGCAGCCCCGAGTTGTCGAGCAGCACGATCCCACACAAGGGCGGCCAGCTGAGCAGTCGGAGGTACACGTTAAAGTCGGGGGTCAAGGCGTACCAGACTTGGTTCGCCAGCACTTGATTCGCTGCCTGTGGGGTACTGATTTCGTTGTCGCAGTCGTCGGCGCCACACGGACTCAACAACACGCGAGCCTGCCACGATTCCCCGCGCCGCCACTGTACGTAGGTCCTCCGTCCACACTTCATGAGGCCAGCTCGCGATACACGTACAAAAGCAGTACGAACACGCTCCGCCAACGATGGGGCCCAACAAAAAGAACACCACGAGGGCGCTCTCGACGCCTCCGGAGGTCTGACCCACTAGGAAACAAGTGGTCGCTTGGCCTGCCACTGGACTGAAATACTCGGCAACTCCAAACAATCGCGGGTCCCAAGTGATGAGGGTGTTGCGGCCCCATAAAAAAAAGAAGGTGACGCTGGGCTTTCGGCCGCCTGATCAGCTTGAGCATGGCGCCAACGGCAGCAGCATGAGAGCGCCTCAATAACGTTCACAAAACATGGACTCGGAGAGATGGGAGGAGAAGAAAGCAAGGAGGGGGAGGCAGGATGAGAAAAAGAGGGGGGGGAAAGGGGAGGGAGGGAATCGCACCCCCCAAACCGCCCTGGCTCCTCCCCCTCCCCCCTCCTCCTCCACCCGTCTCGTCCCTTTTCCTCCCCATCCTCCCACCGCGTCCTACATTACCAAGATCACCGGCCGCACGTGTGTTCCCGATGCAGCTGCGGCCCTTCATGGGACCTGTTCAAAACGGCAAGGCAAGGACGACAGCATGTGCTGAGGCTCTCTCAGGCTGAGACCCGCGACGCATGCGCAGGACGCCCCCGAAAAGAGTCTAGACACGAGGGGTTCGACACTGAGCAGTGCAAAAGGCGGCCCGCGACGGTGGGACCAGCGAGAACAAAATTAGTTCCATCGCGCGAGCGCATCAAAATATGATTCGGCGGTCCGAAACTGGTGTGCGACGTCGCCCGCCGAGTGATCTCGGTGGCCGTCCTCGTGAGCGGGAGCGGCAACGCCCCTCGGCGGTTCAAAGAGGGGACCGTGGGTGCTGGGGCCCTCGGGACATGAAGTGGATCACGCATTGAGCATGCACTGCCCCTGGTCCTCATCGCTCAGGGCCCCATCCCTCGGGCCTGGACGCCCGAAAGGAGTATGGACAACATGGGTGCGATGCCCAACAGCAACGGTTGTCCTAAACCGACAGCGGCCGCTAACAGGCCGTCGAGCTTGTGTCCCAAATGGACAACCACCGCGACGACGCCGACAGCGAGCCCTATTCAAAATGACCAAGGGCTGTTCACCATACTTGTGCCCATTCTTTCCGTACCCAGTTCGATCGTACCGATCGGGTCTGCAAGATCCTGCGCGCAAGCCCGGGTCCATGCATCCGGGGCTGCGCAGGAACCTACAACATCCAGCGTTCTGGCTGACCCCCGCTTGACTTGATCATCGCACCAACCTTACAAACGTGCTGCAGCGAATTTTTGCGTGGTCTTGTCAATGCGAAACGCCGAAAAGGCAAGCGAAAACCAAAGTGAATTTCACGTGGATATTTTGTAGTCTTCATTCCTGGCCCAAAAATAGCCCGCACGAAATTCACTTCGAGATTCGGAACGAAACTCTCCAGGACAATGCGGCACCCCATCCCATCGTTATCCGAGCGAAATTCGCTCTGCGATGTTGGCGCCATGGAATGGACCCCCGCCTCTTACAGTTAGGTCGGGCATGTCCCCTACAGGCGATTTTGGGCGAAAGCATAAAAACCAGTCAACAAATATTCGAAAACGGCAAAATAGTCGAAACATCGCCCCCAGACTATCTTTTGACTACGTCTCTTTCTTTTGAATATAGAGGGGCGTGCCCGACCGAATCTTGCAGCTCGATCGGGGCCCCGCCCCGCCCCTCGGGGCCCCGAGCGCTGCACCGCAGAGGCTTCCTGCCGCGCAGCCCACGACGCCGCACAGCGCACCGCCGCCTGCCGCCGGGGCGGGCCGCCTCTCACGCGAGCAGGGCGGCGCCCGCCGCCGCGGCCGCGAGGAGGGCGGCGCCGGCCCGGAGGGCGCCGCTGCGCTCGGAGGCCTCGCCAGAGAAGACCACGAGCTCCTGGGGATATTTTCTTGCCATCGCTCGGACGTCCGTTCCCTGTGCATTTGTCGGTTTCGTGCGTGTTTTTGTTTGCTCGATGATCCAGGATGCTCCTCTAGTGTCCTCGCCGAGAAAAAAATGCACACGTCCGAGCGATGCCAGGTTTTTGCTAGGAGCAGCAGCGGAGCAGGCAGCCTCACGGGGCTGAGCTGAGCAGTGGGACAACCATTCGCACGGGGGCCTGGGTCCACTCCACCGCCGCCGCGGGAGGCTTCCCCTGGGGGGTGCAGACCCTATCGCCCACGAGGTCGAGGAGAACGTGGATGACGAGGAGGAAACCCATAATGATACCGATGATGATGATGATGATGATGATGATGATGGTGGTCATGATGAGGATGGTGATGGTGATGATGGTGGTGATGGTGATGGTGATGGTGATGGTGATGGCGATGGTGATGATATGATGATGATGATGATGATGATGATGATGATGATGATGATGATGATGATGATGATGATGATGATGATGATGATGATGATGATGATGATGATGATGATGATGATGATGCTGATGCTGATGCTGATGCTGATGATGATGATGATGCTGATGATGATGATGATGATGATGATGATGATGATGATGATGATGATGATGATGCTGATGATGATGATGATGATGATGATGATGATGATGATGATGATGATGATGATGATGATGATGATGATGATGATGATGATGAGAGCAGGAGGAGAAGGAGGTGGAGGTGGAGGAGGAGAAGGAAGGAGGAACGAAGGGGAATTAGAGGAAGAGGGAGGGGCTCCTGCGGGATGCCATCGCTGCCGCCCACCCGAATGACGACGTGCTTGCCGCCCTCGGCGGCCGTGAGGGCGACCGTCTTCGCGACCTTGCTGCTCGAGTCGTCCAGGCTGACCTGGTAAGCTCCTGTCGGGTGTGGCTAGAAGTACCCCTGGCCCAAGGTGCCCCCAGGATTCTCGGGGTGGTCCAGACGGCCTCCAGAGCACCCCTCACGAGGCCCAGAGGGCCCCAGGGCTCCAAACGTGGAGCGAAAAGCTGGGGGCACCTTGGGCCAGGGGCAGTTCTAGCAACACCCGATCCTGGGGTCAGGGTCACGGCCGTGCCGGGCTTCAGCTGCACGGTCTCGCTGCGCCTCTTGCTGCCCTGTGCGATCTTCATGGCGCCCGGCGAGCTGCCCTCGTACGCGTCGACCACCGCGAGCTGCGCGTTCTCCTGCGCGACCGAAAACGCGTGGGAGTAGAAAGTCGCCGCCATGGTGCTATTGCCCTTGCGGTACGGCACCAGCAGCAACGACGTTGGGGCGAAAGGGAGGTTGCCGACGTGGAACGTGCCGACGCTGATGCCCCCCAATTTGAAGACTATGCGCTCGCTGTCCGCCAACTCGATAACAATCTCCTTGCAGGCCTTGTAATGCAACGGTTCTTCTGTGAGCTTCGCCTTCTGGTTGACCGTGTAGACGCTGAGGGGTTTGTTCTCCGCGTAGGCGTTGCAGACGGTCAGGTTGTGCTGTATGCCGTCCTGGACGTGCAGGGCAGCGCCAGCTGAAGCCAATGCCAGGAGAATAAGGGCGCGGACGGCAGCCATCGATGCGGATGGCGTGCAGGCTGCCTGTGCGGACTTCGGTGATCAGAAAAATGAACTTCAGCCAAACAGGCTTACGCGTCCTACAGAAGGAGGATGGGAAGGATCAAGAGGAACAAGGGGCCAGAGGAGGGGGAGGAGGACGAGGAGGATGAACACGACGACGATGACCAGCGCGCGGGTGTGCGGGTCGTCGTGGGAAGGGGATGAGGGAAACGGGATGGGAAGGAAAAGTATGGAAAGGAGCAGGTAGAGGACGAACGGGACAAGAAGATAACGGTGGACGCGGAGGAGCAGAATGAGCAAAAGGGGCAGCAGGCCGGGAGGAGGGACGGGGAGGAACGATAATGCGGTGGAGAAAGGGAGGAGGAGGAAGAGCAGGAGGAGGAGAAGGAGGAGGAGGAGGAGGAGGTCGGTCGGCCGGTCGCTGCTTCGGGCCTCGGGTCGAAGGGTCAACCACTGGAACACATCGAAGGATAACACATACGATCTGTACGACCTGCAGTGCGCGCACATCCAAAATGCCAAGGCGGGCCCTCCCAGGGAGCCCCGAATTGCATGTTCGCTTTACCATTTGCGGTGAGATTCGAGGAATTCGAAACGTTCCATGAGACTGAGTTTCTCGAACTGCTTTAAATATGCTTCGCTTCTGCTACGCTGTATGCTGTGCTGTACACGTGCTAGGGTCTTGCTGCTGCTACTGCACTGAGGAGGGAGAAGGGGCCGCAGCCTTTGCGGGCATCGGAGGGGGAGGAGAAAACATAGGCGAGGAGGGATCATTCACTGAGCCTCCCGCGGTCTCACAGGGGGAAGCTGTCACTGGGCTTCCGTCGTCGCCGCCGCCTATGACCACATCTTTCTCACTAGTCACTTCTGGCAGGCGTCCTGCTGCCTGCCAGCTCTCGATGTCCGCTCTCGGCAACAGGCGTCCTCCTGCGTGCCGACTCTCTCCGTCTAGGCGAGCTGGTCCATCGCCAGCTGGAGCAGCCTCTCCTGGTGGCCCCGCGGGGCGGGACCAGGCTTGATCTCCGCCCCCAGCTGCTCGGCGCGCTTCAGGAAGCAAACCTCGATGGCGTGCTCGCTGATCGCCACCGTTATCCGAGCCTGGTTCTCCTTCCAGCACTGCGACACGCGGCGCCCGCGAATCATCCTAGTCTTGGCGTCGATTTCCATCGGTTCGAGCCTGCCGTCGATCGCCGCCCACTCGTCCTTGTTGCGAAGGCCCGCCTGACCGCCCGCGTCGCGCACGGCCAGCGCGATCTGCAGGAGCACCTGCACGCAGGCGGGCGCCATGACCAGCTCTGGCGAGCGATGCTGAGCGGGGTCGGCAGCGTGAAGATCGCGAAACCTCTGCGCCTCCGCCGCGCACGCCCGCCCTGCCGTGAACCCAGCTGCCGCCATCGCCGAACTCTCCGCCACCAACAGCGCGTGGTAGGTCGTCGCCATGAGCTGCCCGATGTTGAACGAATTGCCGAGCATCGCCCTCGCCATGACGGGAGCGGACTTCCGCGCGAGCTGCATCTACATCGGCGGCAGACGATCCAGCGCGTCCTGCGGCAGGCCGTAGCTCTGGGCCAGCTCGCCCTCTGCCTCGCGGCGCCCGCCGCGGACCCTCTGGGCTGGGGCGGCTGCGGCAGCGCCTCCCGCTGCAGGCTGCGGGGCTGGCGCCGCGGCGCGCGCGTCGGCGCTGCGGCCGCCGCCTCGGGCGCGGCGAGGGCGCGCGCCACCGCTGGCACTCGCGGGGCCGCCGCGGCCAGCGCGCGCTGGCGCGACTCGGCGACTGCGAGGGCGGGGGCGGCCCTGGGCGGCGGCTGCCTGCAGCGCCTGCGGGCTGGGGCGATAGGCCACGCACGCCACCTGCGGCGGATCGCCCGGGAAAAGGTTTCGGCGCGCGCAGCTCGAGCAAGTGCGCCTGCAGGGCCTCGAGGGTCTCGAAGGGCTCCCCCACCGAACGCGCAAACTCCAGGACATTGGAACCAAGTGCCAACACCGGCGCCTTGATAGAGGCCAAGGGGCACATCAAAGAGTGGGGCTCCTCTATCCTGCGCTAATATAGAGATCTCTGGACAGGGCATCTGCGAGCCAAACAAGCCGCAATCGCGCGTTCCTGAGCTATCCGACGATTCCTGAAGGCGCTGGCGCAGAACAAGCACTGATTGGTGACACCAATGGGGTGAATCGTAGGACGACATCCGTGACCAACATTTTTCAAAAACTTCCGGTGCGCCACCAGAGCCCGGCGCGTCGCGAACTCGCGCCCGCGCTGGATGCCCTCGGCGCCCAGCAGCTCGCAGCGCCAGATCGCGGCAGGCGGCGGAGGCGCCGCCGCATCGCCGGCAGGGGGTAGCCAGCCTGGCGGCGGAATCGCCGCCGTCCGCGCCTGCGCCAGCAGCAGCCCAGGATCCAGCGCCAGGAAGCTCTCGCGCAGGTCCTCGCGAGCGGACGGCGCGACAACGTTCAGAGCGCCGCCTGGGGTGAGCAGGTCCTCCCGCAGCTCCGACGCCTCGGCAACCTCCAGCAGCGCGACGACATCGGCGACGAACCGCAGCGCGCACGGGTTGGCGTCGCCTGCCACCGAGCCGTCGTCCAGCAACGTCGGCGCCCTGTCCAGCGGCGGCCGCCCGAACACCGCCGCGAGCTCCTGCGGGTGGCGACCAGGAAGACGAAGCCAGCGCCGGCACTGACGAAGTCGCCGAACGCGAAGCTCAGTCTGCGCCGGGGCTACTCCAAGCCTCCGCAGCACTGCCTCGTCTGTCATTGCCTTGAAGCGCAGCAGCGGCTTGCCATTGTCATCAAACCGAGGAGAACCATCTGCAGCGAGAAGAGGGATCTTCTGGCATGCAGCACCAGCGAGAAGACGAGGACCAAGACCTGAGAGTACTTTATCCAGATGTCGGTGTTGTGTCTCGCTGAAATTCAGAACATTCAAACCACTGTGCACCGCCTCCTGCACCGCGGACCCGAACGCGATCCGCGTCAGTCGCCAGATGCGGTTGTGCGCCCAGGAGCGGCCCATGCTATAGTATCCCCTGCGGGCAGCTTGCAGCCTGCGCCTGAGCTCAGTCTGCGCGCTGCCCGCGATAAGTGTCTGGATGCCGAGAGCCGCGCTGTCGTGCTGCACCGCTCCCGCAATGGCCCTGGCGCCGCCGAAGAGCTGGCGCACCTCGTTCTGGGATCCGCGGCCCAGGAAGCAGGGCGACACCGACCTCTTGGACGGGTTGCGCATGTAGCCGTAGGGCTCCAGGGCGCGCTTCAGCTCGCAGTGAGAGTGGCGAGACACGTAGCCTGCGTTCCGCGCCGAAACGACGATGCTCGCGTGGTTGACGTCGTCGGCGTAAATCCGAATGCCCAAAGGTACCGCAGCGTCCAGCAGCGGGCACCACGCCGTGCAGAGCGCCTCACTCGGCCAGATTGCGGCGTCGATGTCCGCGCGCGGGGTGGGCGGGGGGAGCGGCAAGGCCTTCCGCTCCGAGTAGGTCGTCGGAGTCTCGGGCAGCTCGCAGGTAGCCCAGGCAGCAGCGCGAAGCCGTCGAAGCCATGTCGCGATGGGCTCACGGAAGGTCCGCGCAAAAGAGCAGCGCCGCAGAGGCGTCGCCAATGAAGGCGCCGCAGCGGTAGTGGAGACCCTGGTCCCCGTCGGCCCCCAAGACGCGGAAAGTGCTGAGCTCGTGACGCTGGTGGACGTACTCCTGTTCCTCGGGGCGATCCGCCGTCTCGACTGTCTGGCGCAGGGCGGCGGGAGCAGAGGAGCCGAAGGCGCTGCTCATGTCCTCCTTCGTGGCGAGGGTCGAAACGCCGAGGCGCCGAAGACGACCGAGAAGCCCTTCCTGGCACAGAAGAGCGCCCTCGCGTTTGCGCCCTCGCTGGTAGCCGTGCTCTCGAGGTCTGTCCCAACCCTGCACAGGCCGTGGATGAAGCGCTCGGCGTTGAATTCGGACTTCCCGCTGTGTTTGTCCAGCCCCGTAGTGGCCGAGTGGCGCCAGGTGAGGCGCGCGCTTGACCCTCCTGACGTGGGCGAGGATGGTCTTCAGGGCGCGCTCGGTGAAGGGCGCGCCAATCTCCTCGAGAACGTGTTCTAGCCCGCTCCGATCGCTAGCGAGACGATGCCGATGCTGTAGCTCGACTCGAAGCCGAGGGGGACCGTCGGCTTCCTCCTCGTCTTCATCGCCAGGGCGCCGCGGTCGCCGTCGTCGTCGTTGGCCATCATACCGACGCCAGGGCTCGAGTGCGAGTGGATGCACTCCTGCGGGAACACTGCGGGGGGGCAGCACGACGTCTAGACGACTTCGACAACCTCAACCAGCTTCTCGAAGCCCTCGCGGCTAGTATCTACTGGTCGTACGCGTGCATCGGGGCTCTAAGCAGGGGGCCCCGGTACTGCTGGCGATACTTCGCGACCTCGATCGGGATCGCATCGAGGCCGCCGCTGGCGCCGGCCTGGGCGACATGCTTCGCGATCGCGGTCCGCCGTGGAAGGAAGCTGTCCGCGACGTTGTAGCGACTGCGCCGCGGCCCCTTGCACTGCGCTGCCGGCAGGTGGCCCAAACGCCATGCCTCGCCGCACTGCCGACGCTGCCTCGCCTCATGCGTGTCATCGACGCGGAGCTGCACCTCGCTGTCGAGGCGAACTCGGCGGCGGCCGCGCAGCGCGCGCGACTCCCTGGCCAAGGCGAAGGCCATGGCAGTGGCGCCGCAGCCCGCCTCTCGACGAGCGCGGCGGTCAGCCGGAGGTCGAAGTCGCTCCTCGCGAAATCGCTGAACTCGCTGCGACGCAGGCGCTCGCCTGGCGAAGTGCTTCTGGGCCGCCAAATGTAACTGGCCGCCCCGGCGCCCCCAAGCCTCGTCAGGGGCCTTCCCAAGGTGCAGCTCGCGGGAGTAGTCGGGGCGCTGCGAGAGGGCTTCCTCCAGTTCGCGAGCGAACGCAGAGACCCCCTTGCCCGTCTGCAGCGCCTGGCTCAACCGATGGAAAGCCCACTGGGTCCACGACCGCGCGGGCGGCGCCTGCAGCGTTTAGATCACCCCCATCAAAATGGGAACGTGGCCATGTAAACCAGGCCGCGGGATCAACTTCAGGCGCAGGTCGGCGCCCTCGAGCGGCATCGCCGTCTGCGCGACTTCGCCTCGCAGCTTCG